CACATTCTGACACCCCACGACGGCCCACGCGCCCTCCGACACCGCCTCAGGACGGGCCCAACGGCCCGCAGGAAGGCCCCGGGACGGCTTAGCGGGGCTCCAAGACGCCCCTGGGGGCGCCTAAGACGGCCCACCAGGCCCTCAAGATTGCCCCAAGATAGCCTCCTGAGGGGGGTCATGATCCGATTTTTTTCGCTCCCCCCAGGAAGCTCCCTGGAGGCCTCCAGAAGGCGCTTGGACGGCCCTGGGCAGGCTCCAGAGGGCGCCCGAGGGCCTTAATGAGTGCCCCGAGAAGCGAAAATCATTGATTGGAGAGGCCTGACGGCCGGTGCCGCCGACCCTGATCGAAAGGGCTAGGAGTGGGGGGAGGAAGCGGAGGATGAGGAGGAGGAGGAGGAGGAGGAGGAGGAGGAGGAGGAGGAGGAGGAGAAGGAGGAGGGAAAATCATTGATTCCGCAAAAAAGTGTTTCACTGTTTGTTGGGCCTATCCACTTTTCAAGCTTCCGACGATCCACGACGACCCAACCCCGCTTCAGGACGAGCCCAGAGGTGCCCAGGAGGACCCCGAGCGGCCTCACAGAGCTCCTTCACGGACCCAGGGGCGCCCGAGACGGCCTGCGAGCCCCTGAAGACCCAGACCCCCGACGTGATGTTTTTTTCATTACGTCGACCCCCAGAGGTCCCGACCCTTTCCCCATGACCGGCTTTGCATCCTGAGTCGTTTTTTGACGCTCCCGAGACCCGGTGAGGGCCCCCGGAGGCCGAAAATTTGGAAAAACCTCCCGTCATGATTTTTTCATTACTCGAGGGGGTCTGGGGACGGCCCCAAGATGGCCTCCGCATGGCCACGGGACTCCAAGAGCACCACGAGAGGCCCCCACGACGCCCCAGAAGGCTCCAAAACTAGCCCCACGAGGCCAAACAACGGCCCCCAAGAAGCCCCCGCGAGCCCTTTTTCGACATCCCCGTTTCACTTCGCAGCCGCACCACCATGACAACATCTCCGAATGGCTCACTATGGCTGCCCTGCGGGCTTTGCAGCCTCCTTTGCGGCACCCTAACAACCTCCACGAGGACCCCAATGCGGCCTCATACCATTATGTTCCCGGAGAGCCTTCCGGGAACATGATAGTCAGAGCCACTCTGGCAAGGAGGTCGCAGATGAGGAGGCTGCGCCGTCCCACCGAACACCCCAATTCATCGCAGCGACCTTTCCAGCCCCTGCCGTTATTCAATCGAAACCTTGTGCCTCCCCTCCCTGATAAGCTTCATCACCCTCTCAACTTTTGCAAATGCGTCCACTGGCCCGTGCCTCGGGCTGGGCAACCTCAATCAGATACCCATGAAACCGAGAGCCCCCAGGCGGCCCACTTCATGGGAACATGATTGTCGTCACTTGTCCGACTAGGAGACCTACGAGGATGGGGTGGAGGAGGAGGAGGCGGGAGAAGAGGAGGAGGAGGGGGAGGAGGATGAGGAGGCGGAAGAAGACGACGCGGAAAGGAAAACGGCAAACAGAGACCCACGCAGGGTCCAAGGCAGCCCCAGGGGCGCCCAAGACGGCCCAGGATGGTCAACGACAAGAGGCCCAGACGCGGCCCCGACAAGGCCCCCGCGCGGCCTCCGTCGCCTTCCCACCGAGCCCCATAACCGGCCCCAAGAGGCCACGCGAGGGCCTCCGAAAAATCCTTGCGACACCCCCTTCGCCACCCTCTTTCCTTGCCCTGCCTAACCCAGCTCCTGCCGTCCTTGTTTCGTCACCCTACGCCTCTCCCGTCTCACTTCGCAGCCGCACCACCATGACAACATCTCCGAATGGCTCACTATGGCTGCCCTGCGGGCTTTGCAGCCTCCTTTGGGGTACCCTAACGACCTCGACGAGGACCCCAATGCGGCCTCACACCATTCTGTTCCCGGAGAGCCTTCCGGGAGCATGAATGTCACCGCCACTTTGGCAAGCAGGCCGCAGATGAGGAGGACGGTCCGCGCCGTCCTACCGAACACCCCACTTCAGCGCAGCGCCTTGCCGTGGCCTTTCCAGACCCTGCCGTTCTTCAATCGAAACCTTGCGCCTCCCCCATCTCCCTGCCAAGCTTCATCACCCTCTCAACTTTTGCAAATGCGTCCACTGGCCCGTGCCTCGGGCTGGGCAACCTCAATCGGATACCCCTGAAACCGAGAGCCCCCAGGCGGCCCACCTCATCATGTTCCCGGCGAGCCTCCTGGGAACATGATTGTCGCCACCCGTCCGACTAGGAGTCCTACGAGGAGGAGGCGGAGGACGAGGAGGCGGAGGAAGAGGACGATGAGGAGGGGGACGAGGACGAGGAGGAAGAGGGGTAGGACGGGAAAACTGGCCACAATAGGCAAATCATGAGGCAAAAGATGAGCCAAAAGATAACAATGACGATGCCGGCCCACGCGGGCCCCAAAGCGGCTCCAAGGGCGCCCCAGACGGCCCTTAACGTACAAATCCCAATCTTAAGAAACGATCTCCAAGAGGCCCTCGCGCGACTTCCGTCAACATCCGACAGGCTTTCGACTCACGATCCGGGGGCGGCGGCGGGATGGGCCAAAACCTATTCCGATCTGTGTCGTCAGCCCCCCACGCTCTTTCTGGCCCCGTTTCACTTGGCCTTGCCAGCTCTAGCCGTTTTTGCTGCCTTGCTACCTACCTCGCGCCTCCCCCGTGTTATTTCCAGGCTCCATCTCCTCACCAACCTTCCCAAGGTTTTTCGACTGATTTCATTGCAGGTTTTGCAGCCTCACTTGGGACGACTGGTAGCGACAATCATGTTCCCAGAAAGCCTGCTGGGAACATGATTGTCGCCGCCAATCAAAAGAGGAAGAGGAGGGCGAGGAGGGGAGGAGGAACGTGGAAGCAGAGCACGCAGGTGAGGATGACGTGGATGAGGAGGACGTGGATGAGGAGGAAGAGGATGAGGAGGGGGAGGAGGAGGAGGAGGAGGAGGAGGAGGAGGAGGAGGAGGAGGAGGAGGGGAATGAGGAGGGAGAGGAGGGGGGAGGAGGAGGAGGAGGAGGAGGAGGAGAGGAGGAGGAGGAGGAGGAGGAGAAGAAGAGGGGAGGAGGAGGAGGAGGAGGAGGAGGAGGAGGAAGAGGAGGAGGAGGAGGAGGAGGAGGAGGAGGAGGAGGAGGATAACGAACATCAAGCAGCGGACGAACAGGACGGAGGAGGAATACCTATTCATCCGTTGATCCATCCCTCTCTCCATTCCCCGTCCTCTCCATTCTTGCCTTTCCTGCAATCCTGCCGCAAGATACGGGCCAACTTGGATAATTGACCCACTTGCCCAAGAAAACCCAAAAGAGCTACAGAGGCCCCCAGGAGGCCCAAGGATGCTCCCAAGAGGCCGCGAGGAGCTTCAAATCTGATATGAAAAAGCTTCATGTGGGAGAACATGGCCCCGAGGCCCCGGGTCGGCCCCCTCCCTTGTACGACGGTGTCCCCCCGCCCTGGGGCGCTCTCTGGGCCGCCCTCCGAAGCTCCGAGACGGCTGGAGATCGCTTTCGAAGGGTCTCAGATAGCTTCCGGGCACCCGAGGATTTCCCAAGACGCCCCCAGCCTCCGCCCTCCCCACCTTCAATCCTTCCTCCCCGTCCCTCTCGATCTTCGTTTTCCCTTCAACCCTTCCCGCGTTCTCTGTCCGCCATCCCTCTCATCTGCTCCCTCCTGTGACTTCGTACTCTCCCAATGTCGCCGTCAGGGCGTAACTGGCGGCGCCATATCATCGTTTTCAGCCTGAGCGCTCGACGATGGCAACACGATCAAATACCGGGCGTGCTGTGACTGGCTAGAACCTGAGCGCGCGCGCGAAACGCGTGCGATGGTTCAAGTGCATGTATGGATGAATGCATGTATGTATGTATGTATGGATGGATGGATGGATGGATGGATGTATGTATGTATGTACGCACGTGCATACGTACGTACGTACGTATGTATGTATGTATACGTAAATGTAGATGTGTATGTAAAGGCATATGTATATACGCATACAAACGTACATACATACAGGCATGCATACATACATACATATTGATATATATAGAGAGAGAGAGAGACAGAGAAGGCGAGATATCCATACATATATATATAGAGAGAGAGAGATGTGTGTGCTACGAGAGTGGCCCGGGTGGGTTGCTCGGCCGCCCCCCGTCCCTCGGCGTCGCCGCCCCTCCCTGTTGTCTCGCTGCGCCTGCCGCTGCCCGCTCCCTCCGCGCCGCCCCCTCGCGCTGCGGGCGGCCCCCCCGGTCGCACGCCGGGCGCGGCGGAGGGGCGGAGGGGGCCAGGGCGGGAGCGCGCGGGGGAGCGCGGGGGAGGGCGGGAGGCCGAGCGGAGCAGACGCGCCGCAAAGAGACGCACGCGAGGAGGAGGAGGGGGAGGAGGGGGAGGAGGGGGAGGAGGAGGAGGAGGAGGATGAGGAGGAGGAGGAGGAGGAGGAGGAGGAGGAGGAGGAGGAGGGGGAGGAGGCGGAGGCGGAGGCGGAGGAGGCGGAGGAGGAGGAGGAGGAGGAACTCCAGTGGGAGTGTTTCTGGGCCTCAGGGAGCGGAGGGTGGTGGTGCATTATCAGTCACCATTGGGAGCCAGCGACGTCATGCATCGCCACCCTCTCTGAAGGTACGCGCAGAGTTCGTCAGAGGGTGATTGTGTGTATGTCTGTATCCAAATCGTACATAACAGATGTGTACATATCTATATCATATATATATATATACACATTCGTTGCGTAGCAGATCCCAGCCATCAGGGAAACTCTGGATCCAAACTCATGTATGGTGCCTGGCTTTCACAGAGTCGTACCAGGATTGGAATTGGGCAGGAACTCCCCTGGTTCACCCCCAGGCGCAAGATGGATGCAAGATGTTTGCCCAGCCTCAGCTTCGGATGCTGGTCGGAGGTTTCAGTTTTCGGGGCGGGCAGGAGGGCCCAGTATGTTTTTAGGCTATGTTTGTTGGCCGTTGCGGCATGGCGCGCCCAGGTCCTGGTGTCGAGCTGCGAGGACGGACGCGCGCGTGCGGGGGAGTCGAGCTCTCTTTGGCCACCCTCTTGTTCACAGTCGGCCAGCCCTTATCACACGTTCACAGTCGGCCAGCCCTTCTCGCACGCCATCTTGCGAGGTCAGGGCGACTGCAATCGATGCTGTCGTCGACTGTCACGTTGGCGAGAGCGCCGCCTCCCGAGCCTGCGGCTGTCAGCTCGTGCTCTAGCACGGCTGTCGGAAGACCAAGTCCCCTGTCCAGCATCACCCCTCAGCATTCCCAGAAGGTCGCAACGAAGCCGACCGCTGCGCCCCGTGTCCCTGCACATCTGTACAGTCGGGGCCCTGAAGAAGGAACCCTTTTCGTTGGGGAGGGGCTGCGCGTTCCTTAAGTGTTTCACAGCTTGCCTCAGGTTTTCATTAGGTTTCCGATCGGAAATCGAAGTTTAACTTATGGAAAAAAAGGGGCCTCGCTCCTTATTTAGGGTTCCTTAGGTCAACGCCCCGACTGCACTGCTGACCTCGGGGGCCCCGCCGACGGACCGCGCATGGCCCTGAGCTCCCCCCGATCCGGCGTGGGAGCGCCCACGAGCAGGATCTGGAAAGAGGCGTTCGAGGTCGCAGCCGACGAGGTCTACGCATAACCATCTGTGGATAATGGAGGATGACGATTAATAAATGACCTTGGGTCAACGCCCCGACTGTATGGGTCCTCGTGGAGCCCAGCACCGCGCACGGCCAAGACGCCGAAGCAGGGACCACTTTGGGCTCGGGAGGGCCTCCGGTTGCCGGGCCGCTCCGCCTCCGCCTCCTCCTCCCACTCCTCCTACTCCTCCTACTACTCCTCCTCCTCCTCGTCCTCCTCCTCCTCCTTCTCCTTCTCCTTCTCCTCCTCCTCCTCCTCCTCCTCCTCCTCCTCCTCCTCCTCCTCCTCCTCCTCCCCCTCCCCCTCCTCCTCCTCCTCCTCCTCCTCCTGCTCCTGCTCCTCCTCATCCTCCTCGTCCTTCTCCCCCTCCTCCTCCTCTTTCGTCGTGGCCGAAGCCCGCCGTGGTCGGACACAGACAACCCTTCGTTTCACATGTCGCGTCTCGTGGCGGCACGATGGCCTCACGGGCGCCCATCGGTTGGCGCAGCCAATCCGCACTGGTGCCGGGGCTTTTCGAATTCTTGACGCTCCGTGCAGTGCCACCAGCCCGTCGGTGTTCGATTCCAAGGCGAGGTGTCGTGGAGCAGCATTGGTGGAACAGCATTGGTGGAACAAAGATGAGGGGCACGTGTCAAACCAAGAGGGGGAATCACCCCGAACAGCCACCGAAATGCCGAACTCGGGGCTCTCTGGGGATCTCTTGGGATCGCGTTTGGGCTCCTGTTGGAGCCCTTTGAACCTTTGTGAGGCCTTCTTGGGGCCACGCTGGAAACTCTACCAAAACGTAGAGGGTCAATCAGACCATCCTTGAGGCTCGAACAAAAACCTTTCTTGAGGCCTACTTGGTTTGGGTTCTCTTGACATGCGTTTTAGTGCATTGGGGCCCCTCCTCGGGGCCTCCTGTGCCTCTCTTGAGGCAGCTTGGACCATCTGAGCATCAGGTAGAAGCCTCAGAGGCCCGTCGGAATCCGAAAAGGCGAAAAGACCTAAATCACTCACCACCTTTTGGTCTGACGATGGTTCATTTGGCTGACGGCTCATATCTGCCGACCCGCTCATATATGGTTCATGCTTGTGTTGGCCATTCAGGGCGTTGAGAAGCAATTGCATCAAGCGTGGGATCTGACAAGGAAGAGGAGGACGATGAGGATTGAGGCGGAAGAGGAGGAGGAAGAAGGGGGAAGGAGTAAGAGGATGACGATGATTTCGGGGAGGCGGATGATACGAATATGAGAGAGTGCGATCGGAGAGAGAGGGGAGAGCGGGGGAGAGAGGGAGAGAGAGTTTTTTTGGAATGGCGCAGAAGGTTTTGGAATGGCTGCTAGGACGTCTGGGGTCCATCTTGGGGCCTTCCTGGACCGTCTGGGCATTCTTGGGGCCGTTTCCGGGGCGTCTTGGGATATGTTTGAGGTCTATCAACGACCTCTTGGGACACGTTGGGGCCTTCTAATAGCCCCCCTCGGTCGTCTTGTCGCCCTGCGGCGGCAGTCTAGCGCTGTCTTGGCGGCCTTACGGGTGCCTTGAGCCCCTCGGGAGGCCCCCTTAGGCCGCCTGGGGGACCACTTTGGACAGTCTTAAGAAGGCTTCGGGCCACTCCCTTCGGGCGCCGCCTTCTGGCCCTACTGAGCACTCTTGGGCCATTCTTCAAGCCGAAGAGCACGGACAGTAACAACGTGTAAGCGCATCTGATTTTCGAAGGTTCTGGCTTTCCATGAACCTCGCCGGCGCCCCTCGTGCGGCATTTGCCCCCGTTCCCACCCCACGGGTGGCTTCTTGGATGTTCCCTAGGCCGTCATGGCGGGCTGTCGTGAAGCACGTGAAGCCGTCGTTAAGCAAGTTGCTGCTCGAACCCTCAAATCTGCAATCTGAGACCCAGTTGTGAAGGGACTTCGGGCGTGGTGGTGGTTTCACATGCCTGGCGACCCCAAGAGGGGTACCCTTAGGTTTTAGCATGGTTATAGGCTTCCAGGGGGGGGGCCCTGGGAGGCTCGGCGGCCACCCCGACGTCATATTAGGACCTTCTTGGGGCTCTTGGAGGCATGCTGGAGACCACCTTGAGCCAATTTGGGCCTTCTTGCGCCATCGCGGAGACATTGGATTATCTTGCAGACAGTCTTCGCTTATCTGGTGTCATCTTGGGGCCATGTACTGCCATGTTGGATGCGCTAATGACTCGCAGCCCCCGCCCCCCGTCCAGGCACCCACTGAGGAGTTCTCTTCCCAGCCAGTGGCCTCCAGCCGAGCGCATTGCCGTTCCTGGCTCGTGGGCCAGATGCCTCCAGATGCCTCTTGAGGACTCGCGGGGGGACTCTTGGGGGCCTCTTCAGGCTTGGGGGGCAGGGTGGCGTCTTGGGTGCCAGCTGGCCAACTCGGGGGCCATCTTGGGGGGAGGAGCGCCAGTCCCCCCTTTGTGCCCCCCCTCTTTACACCTTTCATGGGCCCCGCTTGGAAGCCTCGGGGGCCGTCTTGGCCGGGTCGCGGGGGCCTCCTGGGCCGTCTTGGGCGTCCACAAGATGGAACATCGGGCATGCAAGCAATTTCAGTCGGAGGTGGACAGAACCCCCAACAGTGACACGTCGATGAGTGAATTGTCCGTTTTCGGTTCTCGAGAGGGCGCCGTGGCCGTTATTTTCCAGGCTTGCGCCCGCCAGGCTTGGGCCTCAGGTCTTTTTCACTAAACCACGTTTTACTAAAGGGGGGTCTGTCCATCCCCGATTCAGGAGTTCAATATGTACCTTATGCCTCAGTTTGGGGAGACGTGTGCAGTGCCGATTGTTCTTAGCAAGTGTTGGTCACATGCTTGCGGCAGTTGATTCCCTCTGTTCCGTTGCCACTGCCAGTGTTGCATGTCTGCCAGGACGTCGAAAACCTCCTGGAGGAGGCTGCATTGAGAAGATGCACTCTCTGTTATCTATCGGTTCCTCTCGTGTTCCATCCTCGCACTCTCTTTTTCTATCTCTCTCTCTCTCTATGCCTCTCTTTGTCCATCTGCCTCTATCGCTCTCCGCCTATATGCCATCTTCTTTATGTGTGTATGTCTGTCCATGTTTGGATGCACCTCTAAGTATATGTGTATAGACGAGTTCCTGTCCCTCGTTGTGTATTTACATACATATACGTATAGTTAGAAGGTGGCTCTCCATCGGGTGTTGCTAGAAGCGCCCCGGGCCCAAGGTGCCCCCAGGATTCTAGGGGTACCCCAAGCGGCCTCCAGAGCGCCCCTCACGAGGCCCACAGGGCCCCAGGGGCTCCAAACTGGAGCGAAAAGCCAGAGGCGCCTTGGGCCAGGGGTACTTCTAGCAACACCCGACTCCAGGCAGGCCCTGCAGGGCATCTCGTGGTTCTCTTCCGAGGCTTTCCCAGGGCGGACAGCCTTGGCGGGCCCGCCGCTTGCCCCCCGCAGGGGTTCGGCCACGCGAGGTCCGGCGGCTCGGAGGCGGGGTCAAAAGGCTGGGGGTCGGTTGGGCCCCTCCCCCCTCGAGCATCAATCAGGAGGGGAAAACACACGCAGACACAATTAATCGTCGGCTCCCCAGAAAAAGTGGGAACATATGGGAAGTGGGGAGGGGAGACAAAAACTCAGAACATCTGGGAAAAGATGGGGAAGCCGGTTATCTGTGTGTATTTCTGTGTGTGTGCCCCTGGGCCCCTTCAATCAACAGTCGAGGATCGACGACTGGTCGAGGACCGTGGATCGAGGGTCGAGGATCGTGGATCGAGCACCGAGGCTCGTCGCGCGCGCATCGAGGCTCCACCGAGGAGCGATCGGGGCCGCTCGCTCCTCTGTCCGCTCCCCGCCCCCTGCGCGGAGCGGTCGACCGCAGCAGGCGTGGGACGACGTGTACGCCAGCACCACCACGCTGATCAGCGTGGCGGACCCGCCCGCCGCCGGCCGCCTCACGGGCGGAGGGAGCGGAAAGGTCGAGAGAGAGAGAGAAAGGTGGAGGAGGAGGAGGAGGAGGAGGACGAGGAGGAGGTGGAGGACGAGGACGAGGAGGAGGAGGAGGACGAGGAGGAGGAGATCCGGTGTAAACTCAGGACGCATCAACGATGTGGCAGGAACCCTTCCTCCAGGTTCCCCCTTCATAAGTCCCTACACCAGTTTGTTCTCATCACGGGAAGTACCCCATTTGAAGACAGCCGTATGCGAATCCTCAATCTTGTCAGAATCACATTATTGAGATTTCAACTCCGCGAATCAACGCGACTGCTGAGTCCTGACAACCTGAAACCGTACCAGAACGCCATTCCTAGGACAGCAGCACCACGAATCAAAGTGAGTGTTGCGCCCTGGCAATCAGAAATCATGCCAGAGCACCATTCCTGGACGCTAACACCGCGAATCAACGTGAACGTCTTGACAGCCTTCAATTGTGCCAGTACAGAAATCTTGGGATTTGAAAAGTGTGCCAATTCTTGACAGCCTTCAATTGTGCCAATTGTCCCTTTTGAAATTGCAGCAAGCTATGAAAATGAGTGCGCGCGGCGTCAAGACCCGAGCAGCATTTGAAAAGGATCTGATCTCCATCCTTGAACGTGTTGCAATTTTGTAACGGATGTGCGCGGTGCTAGTGCGATAGCTACAGTTTTAAAACGACCCACCATCATTTGAAACGAGTGCGCGCGGCGCTGGGGCGAGAGCGACATTTTGAACAGGGCCCGCCCTCCATGATTGAAACGGGTGCCAGCGTTTAGGACGAATGCGCGCCGTGCTAAGGCGAGACCCACCTTTTTGAAAGCTACCCGCCCTCCACCCTTGCAGTGGTTGCAGAACTCAATATTCAGAACCATAAGTGGTGAGGAGCTTGCAGGCGAAACGCCCAGCCCGCCCTAATTACCGACGAGAAGGTCGCAGGCAAAACGCCCGGCCCGCCCGACCGACACGTCCCGGGATTCGATAAGGAGGAAATCTTTGCTTTAGGAAAACGGATGGAGATTGGAGAATGAATCCTCCTCCCCCCTTGCCCTTCCTCCTCCTGCTCCTCCTCCTCCTCCTCCTCCTCGTCCTCCTCCTCGTCGTCGTGATCCTCCTCCTCCTCATCATCCTCCTGCTCCTCCTCTTCCTCGTCGCACAGATGCCTGCTTCCGAACGTGGACACTCGCGCCCTTCCCCACGGTCCGCAGAGGGCATCTCTACGCCCTCGCAGGGCCAGGGCCATCCTGGGCCCTGCGATGGCGCTAGGACCCTCCTGGCCTGACCTCAGCGGCACGGCCTCAGGGGTCTTTCTGTGCCAGTCTTCGCTGCGGTCTGGCATCTGCTTTCGGCACACTGTAGTTACCCTCTTGGCTGTCTGCGCTCTCTCCCCAGGTAGCAACTGTGCCCGTCCGTCCCCAGAGCACCAAGAAAGTACCGAAACTGGAGGGTTTTCACGTGTCGTGCCCCGGGAGGCGACACTCGTTCGACACTGTTTCGATACTTTTCTGGGTACTCGAACCTATTTCTGGGATGTGGCCCTTAAATACAGTCGGGGCCCTGAAGAAGGAACCCTTTTGGTTGGGGAGGGGCTCCGCGTTCCTTAAGTGTTTCACAGCTTGCCTCAGGTTTTCCTTATGTTTCGGATAGGAAATCGAAGTTCAACTTATGGAGAAAAAAAAGGGGCCTCGTTCCTTATTTAGGGTTCCTTAGGTCAAGCCCCCGACTGTAAGCCTCGGCCAGGACCCAGGATCGCCTCCGCAGGGAACGCCGGTGGTGCACAGACGGCCTCGGCGCCGGCCGCCGAGGACGTCGCGCGCCTCATGCGGGAGCTGCTGCAGGAGCTCGGGCACTCGGACACGGCCGTGGACCTCAGCAGCAAGTCCGGGAGCACCCTCAGCCCGAGGGTGCCGACCCCGCCCCTTGGCCACCGCCGCCGAAGAGTCTGGACGCCCGAGATGGGCACGGAAAGAATGGGTACGATGCTCAACAGCAGTTCCTGTTCACTTTGAACAGGGCTCGCTGTCCGCGCCGCCGCGGCCTGCGTCCATTCGAGACAGAAGGCCGCCTGCCCAACAGCGGCCGCTGTTGGTTCGGGACAACATTTGTTGTTGGGCATTGTACCCATTCTTTCCGTACCCATTTCGGGCGTCCAAAAAGTGGGGAGCCCCGGACGGGGCTGGAGGGCACGGAGGAGTAGTGCCCCGGAGCGTCCCGGAGCGCTCTCGGAGCGCCCCGTCGCGCTCCGAGAGAGCCGCGGCGCAAGATGCGGTCTCCAGAGCCGCTGGACCTCGGAGATCATCCAGCAGTCCTGGTCCGATGTTGTCCCTGTCCTGGCCTCGTCTCCGAAGGGGGGGAGGCGGGGGTGGTTCGAGGAGGGTGGTGCAAGATGTGTTCCTGGGCAGTTCTGCAGCTGCTCGGGGCTAAGGAGGCGGAGGGAGAGGGCGCAGTTGCGTGGCTCCCCAGACGAGGGCCTCAATACATCGGGAAGAAGAAGAAGAGGAGGAAGAGGAGGAGGAGGCGGCGGAGGAGGAGGAGGAGGAAGTGGAGGAGGAGGCGGAGGAGGCGGAGGAGGACGACGAGGAGGAGGATGACGAGGAGGCGGAGGACGAGGACGAGGTGGAGGTGGAGGCGGAGGAGGAGTGCTTCGAGGCTGTTCCTGGGCGCTTCCGCTGATGTTTTGGCATCGGCAGGCCTCCAGAGGAGGCCCCCCCCCCCCTGGCACGTTGGATCCAGTCGGGGCAGGCCTGCTGCCGTCCACAATGGCATAAGCATGAAATTTTCGGAGCTCCGCGCGGAGTGCTTGGATCTGCGCTGGGGTCCCCCCAGGTGGCGCCCGCCCCTGGCACCGATCCCAGAAATCCGCGCGGGGCTGCGAACGTTTAGGTTTGTGCAGGTATTGCCCCATATCCTGAGGATGGAGTTCTTGCGTTTGCCCATATCCTAAAGATGGGGGCTCTTCTGATTACTCAGACCCGGTCGACTCCTTTTCCTCCTCCCTCCTCCTCCTCCTCCGGATGATGATGACGACGACGATGATGATGATGCTGATGATGCTGATGGTGATGATGATGGTGTTGATGATGATGTTGATGGTGATGATGATGATGATGATGATGATGATGATGATGATGATGAGGCCAGAGAGAAGTCTGATACGAACGATGAAAGATGCTGACGATGACGAGGACGATGATGCTGCTGCTGCTGATGATCATGATGAGGGCCGTATGATGATGATTATGCTGCTAACGATGAAGGTTTTGACGCTGATGATGCTGATGCTGATGCTGATGCTGATGCTGCCGATGCTGATGATGATGATGATGATGATGATGATGTTGATGATGGTGATGATGCTGATGCTGATGCTGATGCTGATGATGATGATGATGATGGTGATGATGGTGATGACGATGACGATGACCATGACCATGACCATGACGATGACGATGATGATGGCGAAGCAGATTGTGAGGGACTCGTTTGCGTTCAGAGCGGATTCTGAGGACATCTCGGGCGATGCGCTGGTTTCAGCAGCACACCCAAAGTGGGGGGGGGCGCCAGGGGGGTACCTCACTACTCCGTTCGCGCCCTGTTCACCCACCCGACATCCATCGCTTTCGGAGCAGATTTCGAGGATGTCTCGAGCGAGGCGCTGGCTTTCGCAGCCCCAAGGGGAGCCGCCAGGGGGTATCTCATTCTTCCGTTCGCGCCCAGACTGTTGGGATGTCTCAGGCGGTTTGCATGTTTACCCACCCGCCATCATCCGTTTCCAGAGCAGATGTTGAGGATGTCTCGGGCGAGGCGTTGGTTCTCGCACCCCAGGGGGGGTAGGGGGGGGGGGGGGGGGGGCAAATTGCGAGGATGTCTCGAGCGCCAGACTCGTTTGCGTCCAGGTCGATGATTCAATGTTTTTCGTGTGTCCTTACAGGTTGCCCCTCACCTGTGGTCCCAATCACTTACGCGTGTCCTCTAGATAGAGCCGTTCTGAGGGGCGCAAATCTTTTGTTTGTGCTTGTCGTATGTTACTATAGATTGTCCCTCTTCGTCTGCTCCAATCCTATGTGGCGCACGCATGTTCCTATAGATTGGGCCTCTCCTGGGGCAAGTCTCCTCTCCAGGAGGCCCCACAAGGTTCCAGGAGCCTCCGGGAGGCACCAGGAGGCACGAGGGGGCCCCAGGAGGCCCCGGGAGGCGCCAGAAGGCCCCAAGAGAGTCAGGAGGCACCAGAACGCCCCAGGAGGCTCCAGAAGGCCCCAGGACAGGAGGTTCCAGGAGGTCACAAGTGGCTTCAGGAAGCCCCAGGAGCCCACAGGAGCGGCTCCAATCCCATGTGCCTGACGTACGTTATTATATGTTGCGCCTCCCCCCGGGACACGATATCGTTGTTGTTTACGTGTGTGTGTCTATGGTTTGTTTTCTCATGTGGCCTCAATTCCATATGTTTTCCATGTGTTGCTGTAGATTGTGCCTCCCCTGGGACACACATCCCTCGCACTGTGCCTCCAATCCTAGGTGTTTCACACATGGTCCCATAATTCATGTCCCTTCTCTGCGTGGCTTGGCTAGCTGTATCACGGTCCAGCCCAGCCGCTGCGTGAGATCTTCTGGGCTTGCCAACCAAGCGCAAGGGTTTGGCACGGCGTTTGCATGAGCTTCCCATATTCCTTGCTTCATCATGGAGTGAGGGATCGCGTTGCCATTTTTGGACCAAGCCACGCCCAGTCACGTTCAGTCCACTGACGTGCAGATACACCCCCTCAAGCTCATATTTAGACCCATGTGCACAGACGCATTTGTACCACTGAGACCCATTCACTCTCCAACCCATTGAAGTTAGATTCGCCCCCCGTCCGTCAATACCCAAGCCCGTTGATGTTCGAACACCCTTTGCGCCTAGACGCTCACGGTGGACAGGCCCATGCTCACGGAAACACATACGGGGAGCTCCACGCAGTGAATAATTCCTCCGACCGCGCCGACTCTTTCCACCTCCCTCTTCCTCCTCTTTCCCACGAAAGAAAGATACTGGTGATGATGCGGATGATGATGTTGATGATGATGGTGATGATGACGATGATGGTCATGCTGATGGTGATGCTGATGGTGATGATGATGGTGATGTTGATGCTAGTGGTGATGATGATGCTGATGTGATGTTGTAGTGTTGTGGTGTTGCGATGTTGTTGGTGGTGTTGATGGTGATGATAGCTGTGCTTATGATGATGGTGCTGGTAATGATAAGGACGGTGGTGGCGATGACGATGGTGATGCTGATGGTGATGATGATAATGACGATGCTGATGATGATGGTGATGCTGATGATGATGATTATGATGACGATGATGATGATGATGATGACGATGATGACGATGATGATGGTGGTGGTGGTGGTGACGATGACGAAACAGAGTTTAGGATGTCTCGGGCGAGGCGTTGGTTTCAGCACACCCAAGGGGGCGGCGCCAGGGGGGTATCTCATTCCTCTGTTCGCGCCCAGATTGTGGGGATGGTTCGAGCGGTCCGCTAGTTTGCATGCCCAACATCCTCCGCTTTCGGAGCAGAGTTTGAGGATGTCTCGGGCGAGGCGCTGAGGAGGGCGCCAGGGGATGGCGCACCCCCCGTTCGCGCCCAGATTACGGGGACGCCTTAGGCGGTTTGCCTGTTTGCATTCCCAACATCCTCCGCTTTCGGAGCAGATGTTGAGGATGTCGTGGGCGAGGCGCTGGTTTTCGCACACCCAAGAGGGGCGGGGGCGCCAATAGATATCTCACTCTTCCGTTCGCGCCCAGATTGTGGGGATGCATTCGGCGGTTTGCCTGTTTGCATGCTCATTGTCCTTCGTTTCCGGAGCAGAGTGTCAGGATGTCTCGGGCGAAGCGTTGGTTTTCTCAACCCAGGGGGGGGGGGGGGGGGGCAGATTGCGAGGATGTCTCGAGCAGTTTGCCTGTATCGGTGGCAGACTCGTTTGCGTTCAGAACAGATTCTGATGCTTTCTCGGGTGAGGCGCTGGTTTAAGCACCGCCAGGGGTTCAAGTTGCGAGGATGTCTCAGGCGGTTTGCCTGTTTGGGTGGCCACATTCGCCTGCGTTCAGAGCAGAGCCCGAGGACGTCTCGAGCGAGGCGCTGGTTGCAGCATTCTCAAGGGGGAGCCGCTAGAGTGTTTTTCTCGGGCCCGTGCGCGCTCAGATTGTGGGGTTGTCTCCACCGGATTGTGCGCTTGGGTGCCCAGCTTGTTCTGTTTTCAGAGCAGACAGTGAGGATGTCTCGAGCGAGTCGCTGGTCTCAGCACTCCCCAGGGGGAGCCGTCAGGGCATATGTCACTCCCCCCTTTGCGGCCAGTGTGGGGATGTCTCAGGCGGTTTGCTTGTTTGATGGCCGAGGCCTCTCTCGTTTAAGAGCCTCATGGTCGCCGCGATGAAGCAATCGCATCATGCGTGTGGGTACCCCAAGGAGGAGCCGCCAGGGAGGGGGACACTTGTCAAGGAGCAGGATGGAGGAGGGAGGACGGAGGAGGAGGGAGGAGGAGGAGGAGGAGGACGCAGGCGGGGGGGGAAGGATGGCAGGAATAGGAGGAGAATGCGGAAGGACGGCTTAGGACGCAGGAGGGCGCAGGAGGAGAAGGAAGGAGCTGTCTCTTTACCGCCGTCCTTCTTCTGTCCTCACGCCTGCTCCCTCTCAGGCTTCTCATGCTCAGAGTCACTCGCACTCATACTCAGACCACCCTGGCGAAGATACACCTACACTCAGCTTAGTCAGACTCAGACCCATACGCATAGACCCACTCACACGAAGACTCACTCACACTCACTCAGACTCGCACGCACTCAGGCTCACCCGTACTCAGACTCTCATGCTCACCTCACTCAGACCCACACACTCTTGTGCACAGACGTTCGCAGCA